CCCGGCGCTGCGGGAGGGGGCGCGGGTGTCGGCGCTGTGCCTGGCCTGGTACGGGCTGAGCGCCGGCGGGAACGTGGTGAACAAGCTGCTGCTCGGCGGCTTCCCGCGGCCCGTCACCGTCTCGCTCTTCCACATCCTGGGGCCCTGCGTTTGCTCGCACTGACGCGCACTGGGGTCCCCCAAAGCCCGGTGTTTGCTCATACCGGTGCCGTGTCCCAGTCTCCACAGTGTGCTCATACTGGTGCCCAGCGCGGTGTCCCAGAGCACCAAGAACTGTCCCGTGTTTGTGCGAGCGCCCAGCACAGTGACAAGGGCGGATGAGCCCGTGGGCTGAGGTTATGGCTTTGGTGGGACCTGAGCCCCGTCCCCAGCACTGCTGATGGTGGTTAGTGGAGTTTGGCCCAAGCTTTGTGTCCCCACCGACGTTTTCCTTCTGTTCTCAGTAAAAGCGACGATGCCAATATGGGTGGTTCTGCTTTCACGGATCATAATGAAGGAAAAGCAGACGACGAAGGTGCGGACAGGTTTGCTGAGGTTTCTTCTCTTGGTGGTGTTTGTGGTGTGCTCTGCTGGCTGGGATCAGGAAAGCTCGGGCTTTGGTTAGCTGGGGGAGTTTTGTGATTGAAACTAGATTATGCAGATTTTGCAAGTTTCTTTTCCTTTTATTGTGAAACACGTTGAAACGTAGAGCAGAGTGATGCTCTCTGATACGCTGGTGGTGTTATAGTGCGTGCTGTGGTCACCCTCAAGAGTATAAAAGTTGATTTCTAGTTCTGTCACTTTATTCGTCCCTTTCCTTTCCTCTATCCTTTCCTTCAACTGTATAAACTCAGTTGAAATGAAAAGTCTTCCAAGATGAATCTATTCCTCTCTGTTCCTCTTCCAGGTGTACTTGTCTCTGATCCCCATAATAACCGGTGTCCTGTTGGCCACCGTCACAGAACTTTCCTTTGACATGTGGGGACTCATCAGTGCCCTTGCTGCTACTCTCTGTTTTTCACTTCAGAACATCTTCTCAAAGAAGGTAATTGTTTTGCTGCTCATAATATTGCACAGTAGCATCATTCTTTAGCAGAGTGGTATGTATTTTCCTGTATGTGTATTTTTAAATATTTTTTTTTTCTTGACTGTGGTCAAGGGAGCCTGGAGTAGTGGTTGGCTGTTTTGTGTGCCTGTCCTCTACAGCTCTTCCTACCTGTTAAAGCTGTTATCCTGAAAACTGGGCAGAACTCAGAGCTTATCCTGAGCCTTTTCTTCTCGGCACAGTTTGGTTTTTTTCCTGCTGACAGTTTGATTGTGCTTAACTTTAATAGTTCCTTTGAAAGCTTTTAATGTATTTTGCTACAGCAAATCCTTTTTCTGTAGTGAATGAGTCTGTGTCAACACCAGGCACTTCTTGAAATCTGAGACACAAAATTAAAGTGTATGTCTTGAATCTATTTAGTTACAAAGTGATTTCTTGTTTGTAGAGCATTTAAAGTGTATTATCCTGTTAATAGTAAGAGTCACCACTCAAGAAACAATGGTTTTCCAAATGAACATCAGTTTTTCTTTGGTCATCCTTGTAGGAAATTCATACTATAACAGTATTTACTTATTTTCATAATTAATGTGTTGTCTAAAGCTGTTACTGTTATGTGGCTCCTGCATCTCTGCTGATAACGTGGGCAGTAGCAGAAGAAAGGCTGTTTAATAATGGGTTTTTTTGTCAGGTGTTAAGAGATTCCCGAATACATCATCTTCGGTTGCTGAACATACTGGGGTGCCATGCTGTGTTCTTCATGATCCCAACGTGGGTTTTGGTAGATCTTTCTTCCTTCTTAGTAGAGAATGACTTGGTAAGTGTTGTATTTAGGAAACTGTCTACCATTAAGAAAGAAAAGAGGGGAAAAAAAAACCCCAAACACATACCCCCACTGATACAAAAAAAGCCACTTAAATTTTTCAGAGTAGTTCTTATCATAACAGAAGGAACTATTGTGAAATACCTGTAGATTGTTTCACAAAACAATGTAAAAAAAGTGAGCATAGCGTTTATTGTGAGAATTTGTGTCAGGTTTAGGAGAGGGGGCTTATGTAACAGCGTAAATCTTGGGAATTAGTAGCTGGAGACAGGAACAAATGCACCCATGTGTTATGAGTAAGTAGAGAGATATTTTCTCCGAGTTAGTAGTTGCATAATGTATTGCACTTGGGTGCATCTTTAGAGGTAAGTTGCAGATGTCGTTCCTATTAGTGGCAGGTAAGAAATGACTCAAGTTGTATTTGTGTTTCTTGGTCTCTTATCTGAAACCTGAGATAATTTTTTTTTTTTATAATATTTGTCTTTATAACAGAGCACGATGTCTCACTGGTCCTGGACCCTGATGCTGCTTATAATCAGCGGATTCTGTAATTTTGCCCAGAATGTCATTGCCTTCAGTATTCTTAACCTGATCAGCCCACTAAGTTACTCTGTTGCAAATGCCACAAAAAGAATCATGGTCATCACAGTGTCCCTTATAATGCTTCGCAACCCGGTTACGAGCACCAACGTCCTTGGAATGATGACAGCTATCTTAGGGGTCTTCTTATATAACAAGGTAAGGGGTTTATTTGTTCAGAAAACTCACTTGAAACAGTCTGGTAGCTTTGAATTATTTTTTTGTTAAGAGCTAGCAGAACAAAAACGCAGAATGCAGAGCGTAATATGTCCTTGTGGAGGAGGAATGTGTATCACCTCAGCCTCTTGGGTGCTTGGGTCAGGCCAGCTGTTAGGCCTCTAATAAACTTAAATTTTGATCTTAATGTTTTCCTGAAAAATGGAAGAGCGGGAAGTAACTCACTTAAATGTCTTGAGCAAAAGAGCAGCTTACTGATTTGGCCTGAGAGGCATGAGGTTTTTATTGGAAGCCACTCCTATTTTAAGACTAATAGGCGTAGATAGTAGTGTAATTGTAAAACTGTATGTTTTTTTCTAGGTATATGAATACGGTAGGTGATCCCTAAGAAAATCTTTCTTGCTTTCTTTCCTAGACAAAATATGATGCAAACCAAGAGGCAAAGAAGCAGCTACTTCCAGTTACAACTGGAGACCTTGTGAATTTGGACCGGCATCGAAACACTCCTGAAAAGTCTCAGAATGGACTCACAGCATTTGCACAACACGGAGACTATCAGTATGGTCGAACCAATATCCTAACAGACCACTTCCAGTATAATCGGCAAAACTATCCAACTACCTACAACTTAAATCGTTTTGATATATAGAATCCTGGCAAACAGGTATAGACTGTGATATCAAAGTGTCCCCAACATTATCAGAAACTTTTAGTACATCCATGAACGTAAAGCCATTTTATTGTACAGTTTTTGCAGAAGGGAAGATGCATGTGTAGTGAAAGTGGTACAGACCTTCAACTTCTGCCAAGCAGACCTTTAAGCGTGACCCAGCTAGATCTGACACTGGAACTAAATGCACAGTGTAGCTCTTGTGCAGAGATTCTGCTGAAATGCACGTACGTAACTTCAGTGTAAAACATCTGCTGTCACTGCTCCTTTTCAGAGTCTGTCAACTGATTGTTCCTTTGGCAGCTAAATTCTGGCCAGTATTTCGTTTCCACACCAGTAAAATCACCTTTAATTGGTTCTCTGATATCTTTTAATGGTACTTTCTTTTAATGAAACTTTGAGAAAGAAGTGAAACCAAGGCGTGCTTCTGCTTGTCAGGATTTGTCTGAGGAGGATTGACTTACGTGTACCAGTTGCAGATAGGGAGGCCTGAGTTCATCTTGAGCAACTACAAAACTTCATGTGGGTATTCACTACTATTTGTGCTGATGTCTTCAGTTGTGGATGACAAACCAGGAGTGTTTCTGAAAGAGTAGACAGTAGAATGATCGATCTCTCCAAGAAGCGTACTTCAGGCATAGAGAAACAATTCTCTAAAATTGCTCTTGTCCCAGTCACTGTAGGTAACAAACAAACAGAGCTTAAAATCATGATTGTTTTCTGAATAATGCAGTCCTGTAACTCCAGACATTGCTCTTCCTTGGCAATACAGAAAACACCTTCACAAATAAAGTATTTGGAATAATACGATTTTTTTTTTTTTACTTGCTTCACACCTGTTCTTACAAAACTTTTGTTGCTTTAAAAATCGAAAGGTTTAAGGTGTTTTCTTCTGGTTTATGCATAAATTATGCTCTTTATATGATTCATATATTATGAATGCATTAATTTGAATAATCCTCATTCGTAATAATTTCTTAAGTCTTATCTTTTTAGCCCCTACCTGGTTTATTAAGTTTCTCAATTCCTGCTGTTGGAGTTGCTGGGTGCATTTAGCCTGACTTCCACTTTCCACTGAAAAAAGTTAAATTTGTGTCCTGCTGTGTTCCTGCAACTCCCCTAGCTCGAATAGTAAATTGTAAAGAAAAAGAAAAAATTTGAATGAGCGGTAAATAGATAATTTATGGTTCAGAAGAACTCGTTCAGTTAGTATAAATGAATGTGCTTAATTCTAGATGAGTTGATTGTTGTGCGTCAGATACTGCGTTTGTGCACGAGGGGGATGAAACCAGTTGAACTTGGGTTTCACTGAATCAGATTGTTACTGTTATTACTTTAGCAAAAGAAGATTTTAGGGGCCTTCTTTCCTTAACAGAAAAGCTGTTGAACAGTATGATTTTTGATAGCATAAGAATTATGGTTTTGCTAGAGAGGTATTAGATACCAGTGACAAAATTTAGGGCGTGGTACAGAACACTCCCTCCACTTATTTATTGCTTTAAAAATTACCATTTCCGTGATGCGAGATGATGATTTGGCTCTTTTCTGGATAATAAAAAAATTATTTTTAAGTGCAGAGTCAACCTGATCTTATTCTTTTGGCTGACTGTGGAGGTAGTTATATCGACTGCCTTCCACCATACAGTTCGAAAGGGGAAATGGTCCTTCTGAAACTTCAGAGATGACTTAAATATGCTGCTAATATATGTGAGCAGAACTTCCTTGACGTGGCTGGAGTCAAGTCTGTTCATGCTAGCTTAGAACTTGGGCTTTTATTTTAGAAAATCTAAATAAATTATTCCCTAACCCAGGTTAACAAGAACAAGATGATGAGGAAAAGCATTCTTTCAGATGAAATTTCTTCTGTCTGTTCCAGTATTATGTATAATTATTTCTTTTTAGCATGGGAAAGTGCAAAATGTGTATTTCTAGGGCTCACTTCCCAATATTTGACTGCTTTTACATACATGTAAAAAGTACTGTGTGGGCTCTGGATTTGGATTAGGCACTGGCTCTGCAAAGGACTGATTTGAAGATGAGATATTTAGGCTGAGGTTTTTAAGAGGGGCTGAAGTTCTCCAACTGCTTTAAAAGGGAACAGGCTGTAAACTGTTAAGACTCGTACAGACGCTTAATTGTGTCCTTTGTGCCTCAGTTTCCCATTTGGAGAATGAAGATGGTTCTTCGCTACTTCACAGGGGAGTGAAATACCAGAAAAAAAGAGCAGGGTGTGGCCCAGGGATGTAGAGGCATGCTGTGAGTTCATCTGTACCTCTGGTATATCCACCACTGTACCATCTTCACACAGCTTGAGCTGATACTTGGCATAAAGCTCCATGTATTTTATTCACAGATCAGGGGCCTTATTAAATATATTTAGGTGGTTTCCTTTTAAAGAACATAACCAGATCTTTTTTGCAACTGTTTCCAGAGAAAGCTTGCACTGCACACCTACCGTGGCAGGTCTTTAGCTCAGCTTGTTCTGTCAGGAGTGCAGAAGCAGGTGAGGGCTTTCTGTTGAAAAGACCTTGTCCTGAATTCCATCTGGGCTCGTGGCCATACTGTGTCTCTGAAACAAAACTACTGTCGTTGAGAGCAGAAAGGGACTGACCCAAACCATGGATATCATCTGTTTAGGGCCCAGAAAGTGAATCTCTCCCCTGGAGACTGCTTGACAATGTTCAGGCTCTTCTAGTTCAGGTCTGTGGTGAACAGGCATAACTTGGTATGGTAGAGCATATAATTAAAACGGTTAAATGAACCAGTTGCAAGAGGTGGTTTTGCTGAGTACCTGAATCCAAGTCCTTAAGCAATATTGCCCACATTCAGGTAAAAGAAGTTTCTGATACTGTTGTAATATATATTTTAATCTTGGGTCGCTGCGAGATTTTGTTTGGCAAGGTGAAACATTTGTTTTAACATGGTTTGTAAATTAATGACGTATTTAACTATGTACATAGGTCTGTAGAAAGTATGGAAACACTGGAATAAAAAGGGCATATCTAGACAATCGTGTATAACGACCCTGTTATTAAAATGAAGGGGGTTGGTTTGGGTTTTCTCCGTGCAGGAGGCTTTGGGAGCGCCACGCATGAGTAGTCATGGCCACTTGTGAGGAATTGGATTAATGTTTCACTGGATGGGTGTGATACCTTCCCGGATGTTTACACGGGCTGAAACTAGGATGATGCAGGTGCCATAAGTAGTGTTAGGACAGCAGTCACTTAGAAATGTTTTGGTTTCCACTGCACATTTCTAACATATGTATAAATACATAACAAAATCGGAAAATTCTTCCCCAAACAGTCCTGGATAGTTCTAGAAGGATTAGTGTGAGAGAACCTGATCTCTTCCCACTACAGTGGGTTTTCTGTTGATAGCTCTGTAGATTATTTGGTGCTCTTTCAAGAGATCTTCAAAATATTTCCCTTGCAGATTCAATTTGAATACCCAGTAGTGATTAGAGCATCTTTATCATCTGGTAAAATGCTTGTGTTTTTTTAAAAAACTGAATGCTAAATAAAATTGAGGCAATACATAGGCTTTGTAGGTGTACAGTGATTTGTAAAAATAGCGTTGGCAATTTGGGGTCAACCCATGATGATTGCTGAAGCTCAAGACCTTTTCTCTCTAATCTGTGTTCAAACCCACATTTTTCTGATGTAGCATTTTGCAGCAGAAGAAACTTCTGCCATGTAGCTATTTGTGAAAAAGGTGCAATATAAATAAAGGGGAAGTTTTGTTTTTCTAAGGTTTCCATTTCTGAACCATGTTGTCAGATGTTAAAAATAATTCTGGAATATCTTTGTGGTGATGGTACAGGCTGGTAAAACAAATTTGTTCATTCTGAGATGCTGGGTCTATGATAAAATCACATGTAGATATGAAAGTGCAAATATGCAGATGGCAGTGACCATCCTCTTTTGGGGTTTTTTGTTTGTTTTTTGTGTTGGACCTCTATAAATTGATGTGAACATGGGTGGTTTTAGAGAAAAAAAAAATAATAAAACCAAAACAAACCGCAAAACCAAAATCCCACACTCCTCACTGTATGAAATCTGGCAGTTAAGCAAATGAACACTTTTGTATTGTTTTCCTGTTCCTATTTCAACTCTCATTCTGTGAAGTTCTGATGTTACTCAGGCAGATTGCCTGCAACTCACCCTCCAGCCCGTCCTGAAGCCAGGATCCTTTCTGGGCCAACAGGAAGAAACCACACTGGTGACCTCCAGGTACTGGGACTCTTTCCTGTCTTAAAATAAATCAGGTGTTCAGATGGTTTTTGGAAGACATCTCTGTCAGGTAACTGAAGTTTTTGGGGCATTTTGTGGATAAACCATTGCTGCATGCTGAGGAACGTGGCAGCCTGGACAGTGACTGCGTGGGCTCTGATGTGCAAAGCAGTAAGGTTTGTGTTGAGATGGAAGGCAGCAGCAGGAATTTTGAAAAATTTCTGACTTTTAAATATAAACTAAGATTTGAATGTAATCTGGGATCTGCGTCACATTTCCAGGACTGCAGAGCGATGTAGAATCATGGTCAGAGTTTGTGTTTGATTTCTTTTTTCATTTGAATACATGGAAACATAAATCTTTCTGAGTTTTTATCTTCTGTAGATAATATAGAGGGGTCTTCATGGTACGTCTTGTTAAGAATAAAAAGTTCTGGCTTTTTGTGAGGATGTCTTGAGTGTTACCTTTGTGACTGGAAATCCTGTAAAGTGTAATTTAATGCCTGAAACTTAAGATAGTGATTACAGCTTCAGGTGAGCGTTAGGATACGCAGGTTTGCTTTAGACCTCTTAAGATTCCCAGATGATTGCTTCCACTTGCAGATTTTGTTTTTCTAAAATATTAAAGGGCACCAGAATTATTTGGGCCCCACTTGGAGTTTTAGTGCCTGGCTCTCATGTAAATGGTCTTCAAGCATGCTGGAGTTTTGTGGGGTTTTTTGAATTGTGTAGGTAGAAGGAGTTGAACAATCCCCGCCATGCCTTGTACCTCTTGGCTTGGCTGTGAAGCTGATCCGATCAGTACCTTGCTTTTGAAGGAATGTTTTCCTGAATCCAGCAGGTATGTGGTGTATTTTTAGTCCCACTTTGAATACTAACTAGAGTATCGGGTGCAGAAGGAAAGTCAAGAACCAGAAATGAACATTTTCGTTTGAACTGTGTGAAGAAATGAAGCCACTTAACAAAAGCAGCAGTGCTTGAGTAATGTCCCTGTATACCGTCTGCACTTTCTTTTCTCAGCAGTTGAATTTTGGGTTAAATTTGCTGTCTACCAGGCTTCCTACACATCCGTGTTCCTTTCTACATCATGCCAATGGTCTGTGCCGCTGCAATGGATTGTGCCTCAAGATGAAACATTCTAAATGACACGCTTTCTTTTAATGCTCTCTATTTTCTGGCAACTGAATTGCAGCTTGGACGTCGCATTCTAAAAGTGGAGGAACTTCTCGAATTGGGAGTGCAGCAGCAGCTTTGCAGGTACTCGGGGACCGAGGCCAAGGTCCAGAAGCAGCTTCTTCAGCGGCCGGCAGAGGCGATGTGTGTGCAAGCCCTCAGCTCCTCCAGCGGCGCGGCGCGGCCGGTGGGCGACTGACGGGCCGAGCTGGCTCCTGAACACCGGCCTGAGGCGCTGCCCCGCGGGCCCTCGCGCGGCCGGGCCTGGGCCTACCC